TAGTATTTCTAAAAAATCAAAAAGGCTTTACCAGTGAAAATACTTGTAAATAAAAGAGAATTTTGATTTATACAGAATTATTTATAATATTTCCTTCATTTTGTAGCTGAAACGTATTTTTATTTTATTTAAATGTTTTAATACATGCCTAACACAGTTTACTTATTATTATTCCATTCAATGTTTTGACACAAATTTTTTTCTGCCTACATTTTGAACACAAATTATATCTTTTCAGCTGACAGTTCACAATACAGATGTTTATCTTGTAAAATTTCTTCATATCTTCTAAAATGAAAAAAAATGCCATCCATTTAACAAAACTTTCTTCAACTGGGCAGTCAGCAAAAATGTTATAGTAATTCACTTAATGGCTCTTTCAAAATAGATCTTTCTAATTCAACAAAGTGCCAAAGAAATTGTAGAAATGGATTCCATATCTAGGAAACAAATGATATTCATAATGTCTTCACTTATGTCTAAACATTTCCATTCGTGTGTGTATTTCTTAAATTATATGCCTCAGCTACAACACAATTATAATTTAGCATTTCTATATCTAATAGCCATTTTTTAAATGATTAAGTTGCCCTTTTGAATTTGACAGAAATACAACTTTTTAAGTTTACCATTTTTGCAGCATCTTTTGGTAATTTTCTTGACACAATAAATCTATGCTTTAAAACATACAAAAATTAACATTTCACTATGAACCATAAACAAAGATTGCCAAAATAAAATTATTGAGCATGGTTTTAAATGTCTACCCTCAAGAGGCACTTAAAATGTAGCAATGATTTTTTTGTAGTTTCTATTGCTTTAGTTCCCTTAAAAAATGAAGTGTAAATCACAGAAATTCTTTACTTCTTAGAGCTGCACAGACATTTAAAAGAGAGAGAGGTACAGGAGAAAAGGAAATAAGCGTGTACATTAAGAGTAATTCAGAGCGCTAGGCACAGTGGCTTATGCCTGTAATCCCAGCACTTTGGGGGGCCAAGGCTGATGGATCACCTGTGGCCAGGAGTTTGAGATCAGCCTGGCCAACAAGACAAAACCCCATCTCTACTAAAAATACAAAAATTAGCCAGGCATGGTGGTAGATGCCTGTAATTCCAACTACTCAGGAAGCTGAAGCAGGAGAATTGCTTGAACCCAGGAGGCTGAGATTGCAGTGAGCTGAGATTGTGCCGCTGCACTCCGGCCTGGGTGACAGAGTGAGAATCTGTCTCAAAAAAAAAAAAAAAAAAACATGAGTAACTCAGAGAAATTCTAAGCATTATCACTATAGATTTGCAGGAATGGGGAATGGAGAGATCTTGAATAATTGTGAATGTATATAATCTCCTGTTGCCTCCACACTCCTTCTATATTCTTTTTATTTTCTTCCACTTTTACACTGCGGGTGAACTGTAGTGCAGGAGTCTGATTGCTAGTGAATAAAGAGGGGAGTTATAAAAATTTTTCTCTCTCATCCAACAAAACAAGTCAGTATAAAACATACTTGTCAATAAAAGCTATGTTTAACAGACCAAAAAACTGTATATATTCTTGAAAATGAACACCAAAATTTTATTTTGGTTGATGCAAGGTAAATTCAATTCTTTACAAATATTGTTACTTTCTTTTAAATTGTATATAATATTTGATATATATCATACTATTATCAACAGTGCTTATTTAAAATATTTTTTCAATAGAATTAAATTTTTATGATAGCTTTTTATCTGTTAAAATATCTATGTATGTGCAAAAATTTTGCGTTTTATAGCTAGACATGAGACTATGGATACAAAAAGATCTTAATCATTAAGCATATTTTTATATTACATCTTTATGTTTTCTGCCAACACAGTATCAGAATATTTTAATCACAAATATTCTTAAGGATAGCTCTTAACAATATTCGACATTTCAAAATAATACAAAATTTCTATTTTAAAACTAAATGTTACTTAAAGTTATTTCCTTTCCTAAACAAATAAAAAGCAACAAGAAAAACCACTCATCCAGTTAGCAATCTTCTTACCTTCCTTTAGTCACATGTAGTACCAAGAATAAGGTGTCTACTTAACATTTTTCTTCTTTCCATAACTCGCCATTGATTGTGGGTATCTATCCATAAAGAGAAATTATGTGTGAATGCCAGCATGCATAGAAATGTAATTCATAACATATAAGTATTAAATCAAAACCTTAGACACAAACCAATGTCATCCCAAGAATGTAACACACTTGAGGACAAGCTTGCTCTAAAGCCAACTCTGTCAGCAGACACCACTTTTATTTCATGTACTCCCTTTCTCTGGCACTTCTTTTCTTCCTGCTATCAAAAATATGATTTCTTAAAAAGCCACTAGCAAGTTAGTAAAAATTGCTTTAATTTATAGTTGGTCTATTCATTTGCTAGGGCTGCCGTAACAAAACACCACAAATGGGGTGGCTTAAACAAAAACTAATTTTCTCATGGTTCTGTTGGCTGCAAATTTACTGAGGTGCCAGTGGGGTAAGCTTCCTCTGAGGTCCTCAACAGAAAATCTGTTCCAGGCATTTTCTTACCTTTTAGATAACTGTTGTTTAGATTAGTGATCCCCAACCTTTTTGGCACCAGGAACCGACTTTGTGGCAGACAATTTTTCTACACAAGTTGGGGGACAGGGGTGTTTCAGGATGAAACTGTTCCACCTGAGATCATTAAGCATCAGATTCTCATAAGGAGCCCACAAACTAGATCCCTTACAAAGTGGTTCACAAGCGGGTTCACACTCCTATGAGAATCCTCTGGCTGATCTGACAGGAGGCAGAGCTCAGGTGATAATGCTTGCTGGCCTGTGGCTCACCTCCTGTTGTGCTGCCTGGTTCCTAACAGGCCAAGGACCAGGTCTGGTCAATGACCCAGGGGTTAGAGACCCCTGCTTTAGGTGACTGCCCTTTAGATGATAGGCCTTTTCATATAAGTCATCCTCTGAGCACAAGCACCCTGGTGTCTCTCTGCATGTTCTAACCTCCCCTGTTTATAAGGACTCAGGTTGGATATTAAGTTAGGGCCCAAACTAATGGCCTCACTTTAACTTAAACACCCATTTAAAGGCTCTATCTCCAAAACTGGCCACATTCTCAGGTACTTGGGTATGGGCTGTCAAGAGTAAATTTTAGGGGGAAAGAAAGCTCACAACACTTGGATATAACAGTAAATTCACAAAGTGAAGACAATTAACTCAGTCAGGGACTGAAACACATCCAGTGGTGAATACATCTTTTCTCCATGACAGAAAAGAGCCATATGGCTCCAAATGGCTCTGAATTTTAATGAAAGAAATGAAGTAATAAATGGGTTAAGGCTAACCATAAAATAAAAATTTAAAATATAATTCCTTCATTTGGAAGTGTTTCACTAATTTTTTAAAACTATATAAGAAATACTGTCTATGCTTCCCCTTTACTAAGCCATAGAATCTATGTAGATTTTACATAGAGAGCCAACAAATGATGCTAAGAAGCAGTACATGCTTAAGTATGTTAGAGATGCAATAGATACTTGAGCAACAAAAGTCACAATTACAGAAAACTTAGTTCCTACTGCAAAAGGACAAGGGGAATGAGATTGTAATTTTAAAGAGTCGCTTGCAATTTTTATTAAATATTGATCATTTCCACATCCTAGAAGTAATTGCTTAGTTGTTTCTCTTCCCTTTCACCTCTTTGAAAAAAATAAAAATAATTAAAAAGCTTTATGGTCAATATGTTTTATTTTAAAATTAATGATGGAGCAATCTACAAAAAGAATTTTCTGTTCTAAAAGCCATTTGGGGGAAATAAAGATTGTAAGATTTTCTTCTCATCAAACTATCCAATAATGCCTTCATAAGATTTTCTTACATAGATGTAAATAAGTTATCTTAAATATACAAGTACTGTTTTTGACCAATAGATACATTATTAAACAGATACATTTGTCTCCTAGTTTCATATACCTAAGCTTTTTAAGTAATGGGAAAAAATTCATTCATGAAAGAAACAGAAGGGAACCATTTCATAGAGTGAAGAATCCTTTTATAGTTGGGATATTCACCAATAATTTACATGTTCATTTAAGTTTTTATGCATATGGCCTGCTTAAAACAAAGTACACATGTTCCATATTACAAAGATGAAAAAAATTATATTTATTCAATTATGGTTCATACATTTAATAAAAATTCTTTTGTGTCTAAACTTAAGACTAAACATCCATATGTATATGTGATTATTTTTCTTCCTTCTCGCCTGTGCTTTTCATGTGGAATTTATGAATAAAAAGTATTTCTAAAATGTGAATAAAGTCATGAAAGAATAACAAAAACTGAAAAAAATACCTACTTGTAATTTTAAATTGCTCTTAAAACCATAGAGAAAATATCTTGTATGTTAGTTAACTTCATTAAGCTATAAATTATTAGCTATAAATTATAAGTTAAATTCATTCACTATAAATTAAATTTCTGAACATTGCATTTGATTTCTCATTAACTATGAAAAATCAGAACTTCGTATTTATACATGAAAATGGTTTTTCTCCTGGATGTAAATAGAGTGCACTTAAGAATTCTGAAAACTTACCAAACTAAAGCTAGCTAATGAAATGTTAACAATAATATTCAAAACATGAATAAAATCCATACCTTAATAATATCTAAAGACAATGAAAGGGATTTATGTGAATGAATCATCTTTTGTCCAACTCTATCACTTGTATGTTTTATTAATGGCTATATTATGAATGTTTAAATCCCTGTCCTGGCACACTTCCAATGCTCATGCCTCTGGTAGTTTATTTGTATACTCAGTCCATCTGTAGCCCTTATGTTGACTGAACCCACAAACAGAGAAAATCAAGAATCCCTGTACAGATTTGTTTGTGATTGCCCTTATATTTGAGCCTATTCCAGCCTTGCACCTTGGGGCTTAGGCTTTGATCCTTATACTCATACCCCACACAATTGTTAAAAGACATGCAGTATCACTTACACAGTAAAACCATTGAGAAAAGCATATTCCTCAGCTGTTAATCCATATATATCTTCACAAGATAATTCCACACCTTTCTGAAGAAGACTTCTTTGTACACATGTTGCTTCACCACTGACAGCAATAATAAGAGCTGTTCTAGAGCAAGAGATAGAAATGAATGCTCATTTAAAGATCTTACACATGCCTCATTTTTTAAAAGTCAGTCTTCTCAGTTTAATACTCAAATGTAGGACCTCTATCAGAAAGAGTCAAGGCAAGAATGTAAAAAGTACAGCAGATCTGCTCAAAAAAGTGTGCCAACCACAGATCATATCATGGAGTCTAAACATGAACAGCACCTAGGAAGCAGCTAGCTCAATCCTTTTCAATCTCTTCTCCCTGGAAGCCCAGTGTTTTCAAAAACATGTCTCAAAATTCCATGAAGGAGTGTGTCTGGGATTTTAGGTCCCCTGACCCCACTTAACCAACAACAGTTGGTCTTCTATGTAAGAATCTAATGTTAAATTCTAATAATAAATGATAAATGAATAATAATAATAACCAATCAACCAGGTCCAACTGTTTGATTTTACAAAGGGAAAAACAAATCCTGAGAGCTTAGGTAATTTGTCCAAAAGCATGTGAGCATACATCTTATGGTTCTTATGGTTCTATATTTTCCCAATATCATATATATTTGTTTTGTGTATACACACACACGAACACAGATATAGACACACACATACACATACACACATATGCATATAATCCTATTAGGTACGTATAGTTATGTGCTATTTTATTTAACTTTATTAATTATACCTTTGATAATTATCTGTAGCATTCACATCAGCCCCTTTATCCAGAAGAAATTTTAGCATTTTTGGATTACATTTAATAACAGCAAGTAATAGTGGAGTACACCCATCCTGAAAAAAATTATTTCAAAATGATTAAAATATTGTACCAAATTTTCATGTTTTTTAGATTTAAGTTCAACTTAAAATATTTGTGCATGAGAACTTTCGAATATACACTTTAACTCTTAAAAGATTTTAATACACAATAAAATATGATTTTTCAAAGACCAAGAAAACAAATCAGTGTTGAGCCAAAAAAAATTAAAGTTTCCATTTTAGGCTTGATTCAAATTGTAGGCAAGAGCAGCCTAGAATAAGTAAGTGATGAACACTTGGCATTTAATGTAAGTATTTCATACCATCAATTCACATTTCATAATGTTGTATGTTCAGATTTCCATTGGGTTTCATTTAAACCTCCAAGGCTGGCACTTATTTTGGCTGTCATGTAGACAAGATATTAGTAAACTAAAGTATCAATATGCTTTCTTTAAAAATTTATCGGGTATGCATACTGCCTCAATAGAAGACTCAGATTAATTTTAATATTATGTGATGTTAATTCAACCATTATTATTAATGAGTATATTAACAAAATTAAAAAAGGTGGGTTTTATTTTTATCAATACCCAGGTATAAGATAATTAAATATCCCTTATTTGTTATGACCCTTTAAACAATTATAGTTATTAAATATAGTGTTACTTTGTAGGTCAGAATTACAATCTGCAATAAAATAAAGACGGACTTTAAGAGAAGAAAACTTTTATCAGTTTTTGATAATCTCTTCCCTTTCTCCCCAGTTTTCAGTTTGGAAAACTCATTTTTTATGTAACGTCTTTCAACATAGATGAATTATCTGAAACACTCCAGTTGCCTTCTAAATACAGGATTTTTTCTTTAATAGAAAATCACCTTATTTTTAGCTTCCAGATCAGCTTTGTGTTTAAGCAGTTTTTCAACTAATGAGAAACTTTTACCACAAACTGCATAGTGAAGAGCAGTATTGTAACAAAAATCCATCAGATTTGGGTCTGCACCATAGTTTAGAAGAATGTTAGCGCAATCCTCTTTTTGACACTGTACTGCCTGTTAATGCAACAAGAGTAGATGAGTAAACAATTTACTATTTGGTATATGAAAAATTGATTTAATATTATGACAATACTATTTAATACTATGATAAATGAGTTTAATGCTATGTTTTAAAATATGAAAATCAACAAAACTAGGAGAACTCAAACACATTCCAATTGAAAAAGAAAAATTATGACATACCACAATCAATGGGGATTTGTTTTCACTATCTTGGACATTTATTTTGCATTTCTGCTCAATTAGGAAAAGTACAACATTTGTATGTCCATTAGCACAGGCCAGGTGCAAAGGTGTTCTATGTCAATAAAACAAAACACAAAGTTAGAGATAAGTCTTCATTTGAGAAGTTACTTACTTTACCCCAAAACAGACCAGATTTTACATTGGTAAGATATTTGCTTCATGCACATTTTTCTATTTAAACAAATTTACATTAATTACACTTTCTTTTTATTGAACTTTCAAGGCTGTGCAAGTGTGTTGAAGATCAAATATTTAACTGATTTCACTTCAAGGAAAACTTAACTATAATGAGTTGAAAAATATAAAAATGAACCTTTTATTGAACTGTCAGGTCTGTGCAAGTGTATTGAAGATCAAATATTTAACTGATTTCACTTCAAGGAAAACTTAAATATAATGAGTTGAAAAATCAATTTTTAAAAAATACCAAAATGGTGTCTGGGCCTTGGAAAAGATAATAAAGTTAGGTATCACAATAAAATTTAGAAATTATATTTAAAATCTGAGATACATCTAATAGTAACTGGAGAAAAGGATATAACTTAATCAATGACATGCTATCCGTAATTGTGCGTTTGCCTTTACTCAGTGATTAAAGTTGGCATTTGTATCTGAGAAAAGGTGAATGTCTAAGGACTTTCTAAGTTGTAGATCTTAACCTTAATTTATTACCCTAATTTCTACTTCTCAGAGAACCCTATTCTAGGTAGCCTACCAAAAACCAGATATACAATAATGAAGTGTGACAGAAGACTAATTAGATCCATTTAAATTTTGCAGCGTTAGCCTGGACTGGCCCTCAATAAACTTTTATCTATTTCTAAGGTGATATCAACGATAGCCTTGTTTTAGATAATTTTATAATACCAAGGCCATATGTAAATAACCCATATTCCAAAAAAAAACCTAAATATATTTTCCTTGTTTCACTTTAGCACCCCAAAGTACTCTATGCATACCTTAAATAGACCCGGTATTGACACACAGGCGTTGCAAAAAGGTGACCCTCAAAAATAACTAATTAAAAATAAGGTAACTTTCAAAAAGATACACTAATAAGACCCACAAACAATAACTTATCATCTCTGGCAATAAACTAACAAAATATAAAAATAATTCAAAAAAATGGGGAAAGCTAAATTTCTAATTAAGTTTACCTTAATGTAACTCTGGAAGGCAAGACTGTAATATAACTACAATATAAAAAGCAAAATTCTAACCAATTATGTTATTGTTTAGCTGAAGAGAAAGCACAATCAGGAAGAGGATGGTCACCTAGGACAACAGAATAAAATGAAATTTATCCATAAATCATAATTAATTAAATTCAGATTGGAAAAGACTATCTGAATTTAAGGAACTAACAAAGAAGTACTTTGATATAGGACAAAAATAATTCATTAAACACCATGGTCTAAATTGAGTTTCCCTCAAAACTATCCACCTTACTTTACTGTGATTCCATCCTTACCAAGCAAATTTCTGTGACTAATTTCTCAGTAATCCTGATACAATGAAGCACCAATTAACCTTTCGATTCACATCCATAATTTGGCTTAAGGATAAAATTCCTTATGTAATAGTGTTTTTAGAGTCCTCAATCCAAACACAACACAGGGCCAAATAGGTTTAAACCCATCAAAGATAACTCCTTGCAGTAGACAGCAAATCCTGGCAAAGATTTTCATGTTTCTCCTTCATCTGTCATTAAATACAATCTTGAGAATTTAGTTCCAAGGAAGTTCGGTGGTTCCCATCCAATTTTTAGATATGATTCTCCCTCCAACTCCAGTTTTATCTTTTAACTACATGAGAAGTAAGAAAAGATCTAAAATTGATACCCTATCATCAAAATTGAAAGAGCTGGAGAAGCGAGATCAAAAAAACTCAAAAGCTAGCAGAAGACAAGAAATAACTAAGTTCAGAGCAGAACTAAAGGAGATGGAGACACAAAAAACCCTTCCAAAAATTAATAAATCCAGGAGGTGGATTTTTTAAAACATCAACAAAATTAGACAGACAACTAGCCAGATTAATAAAAAAGAAAAGGGAGAAGAATCAAACAGATGTAGTAAAAAATAATAAAGGGGATATCACCACAGATTCAACAGAAATACAAACAACCATCAGAGATTACTACAAACAACTGTACCCACATAAACTAGTAAATCTGGAAAAAATTGATAAATTCCTGGACACTTGTACCCTCCCAAGCCTAAACCAGGAAGACATCAAAACCCTAAATAGACCAATAACAAAGGCTGAAGTTGAAGCAGCAATGAATAGCCTACCAACCAAAAAAAAGCCCAGGTTCAGATGGGTTCACAGCTGAATTTTAGCAGACATACAAAGAGGAGCTGGTACCACTCCTTCTGAAACTATTCCAAACAATCCAGAAAGAGTGAATCCTTCACAAATAATTTTATGAGACAAACATCATCCTGATATCAAAACCTGGCAGAGACTCAACAAGAAAAGAAAACTTCAGGCCAATATCCATGATGAACAAAATTGCAAAAATCTTCAATAAAATACTGGCAAACCCACTGCAGCAGCACATCAAAGAGCTTATCCATCACAATCAGGTAGGCATCATCCCAGGGATGCAAAGCTGGTTCAACATACACAAGTCTATAAATGTAATCCACCACATAAACAGAACCAAAGACAAAAACCACATAAGTATCTCAACAGACGCAGAGAAGACCTTTGACAAAATTCAGCAGCCCTTTATATTAAAACTCTTAATAAACTAGGTATCAACAGCCCTTTATGCTTAAAACTCTCAATAAACTAGGTTCCAATGGAATGTATCTCAAAATAATAAAAGCTATTTATGACAAACCAACAGCCGATATCATACTGAATGGGCAAAAACTGGAAGCATTCCATTTGAAATCTGGCACTAGACAAGAATGCCCTCTCTCACCACCCTTATTCATATGGTTTTGGAAGTTCTAGCCAGAGCAATCAGGCAAGAAAAAGAAATAAAGTGTATTCAAATAGGAAAGGAGGAAGTCAAATTGTCTCCATTAACAGATGACATGATTGTATATTTGGAAAATCCCATCATCTCAGCCCAAAATCTCTTTAAACCGATAAGCAACTTGAGCAAAGTTTCAGGATACAAAATCAATGTGCAGAAATCACAAGCATTTCTTATACATCAATAACAGACTAACAGAGAGCCAAATCAAGAACAAACTGCCATTCACAATTGCTACAAAGAGAATAAAATACCTAGGAATACAACTAAAAAAGTAAGTAAAGGATCTCTTCAAGGAGAGCTACAAACCGCTGCTCAAGGATATTAGAGAGGACACAAACAGATGGAAAAACACCCCAGTTTCATGGTTAGAAAGAATCAATATTGTGAAAATAGCCATACTGCCCAAAGTAATTTATAGATTCAACACTATCCCCATCAAGCTACCTATGACCCTCTTCACAGGACTGGAAAAAAAACACCTTAAACTTCATATGGAACCAAAAGAGAGCCCACATAGCCAAGACAATTCTAACCAAAAAGTACAAAGCTGGAGACATCACACTGCCTGACTTCAAACTATACTACAAGGCTACAGTAATCAAAACAGCATGGTACTGGTACCAAAACAGAGCAATGGAACAGAACAGAGGCCTTGGAGGAAACGCCACACATCTACAACCATCCGTTCTTTGACAAACCCGACAAAAACAATCAATAGGGAAAAAATTCCATGTTAAGTAAATGGTGTTGGGAAATCTGGCTAGCCATGTGCAGAAAGCAGAAACTGGACCCCTTCCTGACACCTTACACTAAAATTAATTCCAGATGGATTAAAGACTTAAAACATAAGACCTAACACCATAAAAACCCTAGAAGAAAACCTAGGCAAAACCATTCAGGACATAGGCATAGGCAAAGACTTCATGACCAAAACACCAAAAGCAATGGCAACAAAAGCCAAAATAGACAAATCAGATCTAATGAAACTCCAGAGCTTCTGTACAGCAAAAGAAACAATCACTAGAGTGAACTGGCAACCAACAGAATGGGAAAAAATTATTGCAATCTACCCATCTGACAAAGGGCTCATATCCAGAATCTGCAAAGAACCGAAACAGATTTACAAGAAAAGAAACAAACAAACCCATTCAAAAGGGGGCAAAGGACATGAACAGATACTTTTCAAAAGAAGACATATATGAGGCCAACAAACATATGAAAAAATGCTCATCATCACTGGTCATTAGAGAAATGCAAATCAAAACCACATTGAGATACCATCTCACACCAGTTAGAATGGTGATCATTTAAAAATCTGGAGACAACAGATGATGGAGAGGATATGGAGAAAAAGGAACACTTTCACACTGCTGGTTGGACTGTAAATTAGTTCAACCATTGTGGAAGGCAGTGTGGCGATTCCTCAAGGACCTAGAAATAGAAATGCCATTCGACCCAGCAATCCCGTTACTGGGTATATACCCAAAGGATTATAAATTGTTCTATTATAAAGACACATACACACATATGTTCATTGTGGCATGGTTTACAATAGCAAAGACTTGGAACCAACCCAAATGTCCATCAAAGATAGACTGGATAAAGAAGATGTGGCACATACACACCATGGAATACTATGCAGCCATAAAAAATGATGAGTTCATGTCCTATGGATGAATCTGGAAACCATCATTCTCAGCAAACTGACACAAGAACAGAAAACCAAACACCACATATTCTCACACATAGGCAGATGTTGAACAATGAGAACACATGGACACACAGAGGGGAGTATCACACACTGCGGTCAGCTGGGGGGACTAGGGGAAGGACAGCAGGGAGTGGGAAGAGTAGGGAGGGATAATGTGGGGAGAAACCAGATATAAATGATGGGGGGATGAAGGTGGTAAACCACCTTTCTATGTATGTACCTATGCAACAATTCTGCATGATCTGCACATGTACCCCAGAACCTAAAGTACAATTTAAAAAAAAAGACATATACTTAAAGCTACAGGTGCTTTAAACCTAACAATGGGCTGGATATATCTACATTAAACACT